CATCACTCCTGCACCTACGCCCTGCAGTAGAAAAAATGACCTCCGCACTTGCAGTAGAAATGCCAACATCATGAGAGTTCATGAAAAATTCCTTCATTGATGGTTTTCAACGTCGCAGTCATGAAGCAGGGTTTCCTCTATTTTCCACAACATTGGTTTTCCAGTCGGGAGGGGACAGTGGTAAGCCTCACTCATCTCAGGTGATCAACGCGAAGGGTGCCATTAATCCTTAACATTTTCCTGGTGATCCTGTGAATTAATTTTTCTTTTAGCTGATTTTTCCACACACGCAATAGTTCAGATATCGACGGAGTTATTTTGGTCTATGGTGTTCGGTGCTGGCGCGGTTTATCGGGAAAAGATTAAGAGGTTACGAAAGCCCGTCAATCCAAGGTTAGCTCCACTTGATTTGTTCTGTAATAGTAAACCACTTCGAACTTATACTCGAAATCCCTGAGATCGGGTAGGCGTGGCCGCATGTTTCAACTTAACCTGAAGGTGTCTATGCTTCTGGTGAGTATTTTCATCTTGACACAGAGTGGAATATTCCAACGAGTAACCAGTTCCGTGCCATGTTCAAATGCCACGCCTACTCTGGCTCATGGATAAGGAGTGTCTATATGGAAGTGTGTACCGTACCCCACGAAACCAAATTCGTAGCCCTTGTATAGACTCGGATTTTCAGGGATTGGGTAGACTCGAAGCCAGCGCTGTCATCCACTCCGATCCACAACTACGAACGGAATTTGGTGCAGGTGCCATTCGACGTTGCTCGTGCGCCAATCGCTGATGTTGACACGCTTGAGTAAGAGATACCTAACTCATAAGAGCCTTTGATTGTTGTCCAATCTGAACAGTGGATGTTTCAGTGTTATGAGCTACGCATCTGTTGGTTCCATCATTGGTCATGAGGTTACGCACGCGTTTGACGATCAAGGTAAAAACTTTTGCTTTGATTCAGCTTTTAATATCTCTTTGCCCGTGAATCCGTCTGCTCCAGCCGGTTTCTTGCCCATGCCCATTTCGGATTTCTTGTAAATGAAATTAGGTGTTCTAAAGTGGGGCCGAATATCGGATCAGGAGGTGTGGAAAGCGTATAAGCTGACTGGTGATGCAATATCTTAAAACGCTGTCCCTTAGAAAGGAGTAGCATAAAGCGATAGCATAGCCTAGAATATAGAGGTCGGGTTTGATTTTCTCGTCAGTACGAAGGCGAGCTGAAAGGAGACGCAGAGAGAAAAATTAAATTCGCCGTCCGAGTGCCATAGTAACCTGGGCTCACGAAGACGAGAGTCTCTTTCTAGAGCCGCATGCGGCAGCATGTTCCCGCGCATAGGTGCTTAGAAATGGGCGAGATTTTCATGGACATGTGTAAGCCCCTAACGCCTTGCTACACAATCTTGCAAGTGGCATGACGCATGGCATAGCTAAATCACTGCGCTGCTCACTTGCCGCTACTGAATATGCTAGACGGAGTCCCATTTCTTGAGTATTGGCCGAATATATGTTCAAGAATTATGCAGTAAACAATGGATGCTTTCTCAAATGTCGGAATAACTTCACTGAATCCGGGAAACTGAGGATTTCATTGCGGACTCAGCTATGTTCGCAAATGCGGCTTTAAATTTATAGTTTTTGGTGGAGTATATGACCCACTGTTTGTTGTGGGTGCCTAGTGACATTTAACTAATGAATCTGAAGGCTGATAAGGTCAGACGCTAAAAAAGAGAAATTTCGGGAGTCCCCTGCCACGCGAGCTATTTAGTCCGTAATTACGACCCGCCTAATCGCCGGATACAGGGTGTGTTGGTTAAAATGGATGAAATGGTTCTCTTGGGGCGAGAGCCCTACTACAATACGAGCGCTCTCTTAAACAAATTTTGAAAAGGCGCGTTGCTTTGTATAGGGTGACTTGTATATAGAGAGGTCACTATAAAGAGATTACCACGCGTCCACACGCTGCTGCTCGCTTCCACTCGTCCTCTGATCTGTAAAAAGTCATTTGAACAGTCGAGCTGCTGCATGCAAGGGTGAATGCAGGAGTGGAATACTATTGCGATAGGAGGAATTTTGAGGAAGATCTTCTCGCGATGGGGATGGGGTGCATGCAGAAGAGTTATCATGGCCTATGTTTTATTTTTGTCACCTGCTCTACTCATTACTATCATAAGTTCTTTTATTTAGAACGACTTTGACGCCAACCTATCTACTCTGCAATTTCGCAGTTTCTTATCGTGTAGTTAATTGTATGTCATTCGATGAAGCAAACTCCGCGTGAATCACCACTCAGCCGCGGGATTCTTTCAAGTCCTAGATTTTTCGCTCACTTTTTGACTGGGGGATAGTGGGATGTGACACAGTGGCTACACGGAGCAATGGCGCGATCCGGTATTCTAGGTCATGCTGTTTAACCTACAGCTTTTTCGTGGTTATCCGAAGCGGCGGCTTATTGTCTGAAGGAGGCATGAGACTTTGCGGCGCTTAATGTAACCAGTCAAGGCCAAACCTTTATGAATCCACTTTAAGGGAGGTAGAAATCATGGCGCATCTCAATCTTGAAAGAATA